CAGTGTTGAGTCTATGGGCAGTGCTGAGTCTATGGTGCAGTGTTGAGTCTATGGGCAGTGCTGAGTCTATGGGCAGTGCTGAGTCTATGGTGCAGTGTTGAGTCTATGGTGCAGTGTTGAGTCTATGGTGCAGTGATGAGTCTATGGGTCGTGCTGAGTCTATGGTGCAGTGTTGAGTCTATGGGCAGTGTTGAGTCTATGGTGCAGTGATGAGTCTATGGGTCGTGCTGAGTCTATGGTGCAGTGATGAGTCTATGGGCAGTGTTGAGTCTATGGTGCAGTGTTGAGTCTATGGTGCAGTGTTGAGTCTATGGGTCGTGATGAGTCTGTGGTGCAGTGTTGAGTCTATGGGCAGTGTTGAGTCTATGGTGCAGTGTTGAGTCTATGGGCAGTGTTGAGTCTATGGGTCGTGATGAGTCTATGGTGCAGTGTTGAGTCTATGGGTCGTGATGAGTCTGTGGTGCAGTGTTGAGTCTATGGGCAGTGTTGAGTCTATGGGTCGTGATGAGTCTGTGGTGCAGTGTTGAGTCTATGGGCAGTGTTGAGTCTATGGTGCAGTGTTGAGTCTATGGTGCAGTGTTGAGTCTATGGTGCAGTGTTGAGTCTATGGGCAGTGCTGAGTCTATGGGTCGTGATGAGTCTATGGTGCAGTGTTGAGTCTATGGTGCAGTGTTGAGTCTATGGTGCAGTGTTGAGTCTATGGTGCAGTGTTGAGTCTATGGGTCGTGATGAGTCTATGGGCAGTGCTGAGTCTATGGTGCAGTGTTGAGTCTATGGGCAGTGCTGAGTCTATGGGCAGTGCTGAGTCTATGGTGCAGTGTTGAGTCTATGGTGCAGTGTTGAGTCTATGGGCAGTGCTGAGTCTATGGGCAGTGCTGAGTCTATGGTGCAGTGTTGAGTCTATGGTGCAGTGTTGAGTCTATGGGTCGTGATGAGTCTGTGGTGCAGTGTTGAGTCTATGGGCAGTGTTGAGTCTATGGGTCGTGTTGAGTCTATGGTGCAGTGTTGAGTCTATGGGCAGTGTTGAGTCTATGGGTCGTGTTGAGTCTATGGTGCAGTGCTGAGTCTATGGTGCAGTGTTGAGTCTATGGGTCGTGCTGAGTCTATGGTGCAGTGCTGAGTCTATGGTGCAGTGCTGAGTCTATGGTGCAGTGTTGAGTCTATGGGTCGTGCTGAGTCTATGGTGCAGTGCTGAGTCTATGGTGCAGTGTTGAGTCTATGGGTCGTGCTGAGTCTATGGTGCAGTGTTGAGGAGCCTACGAGCGATCGAGCAGAGGTGAGGCTTTTGTGAGAGGAACGGAAGGAGGTTTTGGAGGGGAGGGGAGGGAGGGGAAGAAGGGAGGGGAGGGAGGGGGATGGAGGGAGCGGAGGGAGGGAGGGGAGGGAGGGGAAGAGAGGGAAAGGGGGAGGGGGGGAAGGGATGAAGGGGAGGGGAAGGGGAGGGAGGGAGGGGAGGGAGGGAGGGGGATGGAGGGAGCGGTAGGGAGATGAGGGAGGGGAGGGAGCGGAGGGGATGGAGGGAAAAGGGGAGGGAGGGGAAGGGGGAGGGAGGGAGGGGGAGGGAGGAGAGGGAGACGGGGGGAGGCACAAAATGAGAAAAGAAGCAGCAGGAACTATTGACGTGTGTTGAGTGCTCACGTGACCGTGTCGCTGAGACCTCGTGCGCCAGGGGTGAAGTGTCAGGTTGCGGGCCGAGTGGTCGTGGTGGCGGTGGCGGTTGCGGTGATGGTGTCTGTGTGTGCGTCTGTGTGTGTGTCTGTGTGTGTGTGTCTGTGTGTGTGTCTGTGTGTGTGTCTATGTGTGTGTCTGTGCGTGTGTGTCTATGTGTGTGTCAGTGTCTGTGTGTGTGTGTGTCTGTGTGTGTGTCTCTGTGTGTGTGTATGTGTGTGTGTATGTCTGTGTGTGTGTGTGTCTGTGTGTGTGTGTCTGGGTATGTATTGTAGCAGTTAGCGCGCTGCGCTATGAACCTGGCGATCCGGGTATCCTGCTCATGGCAAACACCGCTGACGATTGTCTGAACCGATCCTGGGCCTCCCCTAGGTCGACTCAGCCTGAAATGAGTACCTGGTGCAATGTGTAAACATCGCCACTGGGGAGACAAAGGCGGCCGGGCGTGGTGTTGGCCACTCACCCTCTTGTGTGCCGTGCCGGCCTTCATAGGTGCTGCTCGCTCACAGCACTTGCCCCGACATTCCGTGAAGGCTACACGGGGGATCTTTGTCTTTGGCGTCACTGCTACGATGGTGGTGATGGTGGTGATGGTGGTGGTGATGATGGTGGTGATGATGGTGGTGGTGATGATGATGGTGGTGATGGTGGTGATGATGGTGGTGATGGTGGTGATGATGGTGATGATGGTGGTGATGATGATAGTGATGATGGTGGTGATGATGGTGGTGATGGTGGGGATGATGATGATGATGGTGGTGATGATGGTGATGATGATGGTGATGATGATTGTGGTGATGATGGTGGTGATGATGGTGGTGATGGTGGTGGTGATGGTGATGATGATGGTGGTGATGATGGTGATGATGGTGATGATGGTGGTGATGGTGTTGATGATGGTGATGATGGTGGTGATGATGGTGATGATGGTGGTGATGATGGTGATGATGATGGTTATGATGGTTTGTTAGACATCGGTGATGATGATGGTGATGATAGTGATGATGGTGGTGATGATCATGATGATGATGGTGATGATGGTGATGATGGTGGTGATGATGATGGTGATGATGGTGGTGGTGGTGGCGGTGATGTGTCGTGGCGGGTGATGCGATACCAGCGATGGCTGTCAACAGCGCCACGGTGGCTTTAGGAGATGTTAACTCCCTCGCCCGGTATACAGGAGGTCGTGTTGGGCTCCATCTCCCGACCCTGACGATGCCTGCCGCTGCTGCTGCTGCCGCTGCTCTCTGAGTGTTTGGCCGCCGCTAAGAATCCCCACGTGAATGGGAATGAATTTGCCGTCTGGCATGGCTGATTGTTTGTGGTCGCTGCTGCTGACAAAGGGATGTTTCTGTAGCTTAAACGTTGTTTGGTTTACAGTTTTAGTTATAGTGGTCAGTGTTGTAAGGAGGGGGTGGGGGTGATGGTGGGGGAGGAGGGTTTGTGGTAATTTATGAAATAATTCGGCTGCTGTATTCCGAGTAAGACGATTTAACATCAGCAACAGCGAAAGAATCGCATCACCAAACGATGTCTAACAAAGTGCAAAGTGCTACTGCAGCGCGCCGCTGCTATGTGGGTGGCGGGGATGATGATGGTGATGGTGGTAGTGGTGATGGTGATGATGATGGTGGTGGTGGTGATGATGGTGGTGATGGTGGTGGTGATGATGGTGGTGATGGTGGCAGTGGCGGCTCCTGCAAAATCTCTCAGGGGGGGGCAAATGTCTGGATGATTGATAAGGATAAGGTCCACCCATGCAATGAATAAATTAACAGCTTAATATTAATGCAAAATAAAGTGACTCTTACAATACATCTTGTTTGTTTATATACTCACTATTAAAACAAACCACTCAAGTTTATTTTATTAAAGATTCCACTAGGTAGCGATAAATTATATTGTTGGATGAAACGTGCTTACGTATGATGACGTTAGCACGTATGATGACGTAAGCACGTTGGGGCTCGCCCTCCCGGAAGCCATAGAGAATGCATTGGAGCGCCCCCGTTCGAAAAAAAACATCTTTGAATGTAAGTCTATGGGACCACTCGGGGCGATTCTCATCCGGAGTGAAATCGCCCCAAAAGAGGCGGTACTCCACAGAACGTGACATGACGCTGATTGGACTATATCCAGAGGCTGCACAGTGACGGCTAGCGTGACTCTGTGGTTGAATGACATTGGTGGTGCGTCGCCCAATCGCCCTAATGAAGAAACCGCCCCTGGATGGTGGTGGTGATGATGATGGTGGTACTGATGATGGTGGTGGTGATGGTGGTAGTAGGGATGATGTTGGTGGTGGTGATGATGATGATGGTGGTGATGATGGTGATGGTGGTGATGATGGGGGTGGTGGTGGTGATGATGATGATGATGGTG